ATGGAAATGTTGATCCTTCTGTAGAGAATTCCCATGGCGAGATTCTCTCGGCTGCAGTTATTTGAGGCCAGATTTTTGTCTAAATGGTTCTTAATCCCAGGGCATCCATCCCCAGGGATCAACATACAGCCCGGTTGCTCACAGCGAAAGCTGCAGAGCAGAGATCAGAGTCATATTCTGTATCTCCTCATGTTCCGGTTTAAGTGATGCAAGATATGCCAGGTGGGATCATTTCTGCAGAAAACCTGCTGCAAGTTTTAGTATAATTTAGGAATTTGCAACTTGAACAGAAGCAGGGTGATGTGTTGGGGTTTATTGGGGCCCTGGCATCTACACTAAAGGAAATAGGATTTTGCTTGAATAGTGGGGTCCTTGGGGCTCCACGTGCAAAACAACAACGTAATCTTCTTATGCATTGTAATAGCATTTTACTCAGTGTCATACAGACCAAGAACAAAAAGCCAGTCCTGGCTTTGGAGTACTTGCAGACTATGGACGCTCCTAAAGCTAAAACCATTTCCCAACATAGTGTCCATAGCGTCTCAGGCTTGGGGAGAGCGGTGGATGTGGGTAGATTGATTTGCTGAGGACAAAACGTAAAACTTGCCGTCTGCAAGTGACACGAGCAGTGTCTTTGGCTCTAAAGTACAGGAAATTTGTTGTGCTATTCGTTTTATTTTTCAAGATAGAGTAGGTAACTTCTGAAACTCTTACTCGGATTTGATTTCTGGTTGTGAGCGCTCTTATCTGGATCTGTGGCCATTAGTTCTTTGTCTCACCCATGTGGCAAGCTGTAAGTTACTTCATCCATTTCTTATCACCTCTGACGTTTACTCTCTGTGTGTAATTCAAATTATTCTAGAGCTATAGAGAAGCTTGGGAATTGCAATCAAGAAGCTGTTCCTTCTCTGCCTTTCCTCTAGACAGATTACCTAGGTTTAAATGGAAACTATGAATCTCCATTCATCACGCAAGGGCTGAATCCTATAGATTGGTCTGGGGTTGGGGTAATGATCCTGTAGCATCTGTTGAAAGAAGCACTTTTTCTGAGAGAGAGAGATTTCTTTCGTTTTCCTTCCTCCCTCCCTTGCTTTGTGCAGCATCATCAAAATGCTCCTTTTGGCCTTTTAAACTCATCAAGTCACTTGTGAAATATTCCAAACGGCCCTGGCTGAGTTTGCATCCCTGTCAGCGGGTCGCGTCTTCTCCGAGCAGCTTTGATCCTGCCTACGCGGTGCCGAGTGACTTCCCCTCCCCTCACAGGAGCCTGAACTCCAGTGGAAACGCTGCCGGGGAGAGCGTGGCCCTCGTGAGCTCTGCGGTCCCTCGGCGTGGGCACTTTAGTGGTATTAAGGCTGCTTGTTGGAGTGTGTGCTCTTCAGGAGCCATTGACACCTCTGCAAAGCAAATGGAAAACTCTAGTCAAAATCTCCATTGTTCGTTAAATCTAGCAATTTGGTAGCATAATTTTACAAACATTAGCAAATGTGTGTGTATATATATTTATTAAATATATACACACAATAAATATATTTATTAAAAATATGTATATATTTTAAGGAATCTGTTTGATTACCCTTACAAGGGGACACTGATGTTCAAGGATGCTGCTGCCATGAAGAGTCCAAAACGTCTCCCCTTGCTGTGAGTCTTGCCTCGAGCCTGCCGGGGCCCAACGTCCTGTGCAGCCCTAGTGTTTTAGGGATTTTAATCCCGGAGCTTTCCTCAAAGCCCTTGCCAGTCCCATCCCGCTCTTGTCTCCTGATTTGTAGAGCCCTTTGAGCTCTGGATGGAATAATAGGAATTTATTGTGACAAAAATTATACTGGTATAAAAAGTAATAGAGGTGAATAATAGAACAAGATACATGGAAATCAACATTTTTCTCCTCGGAGGCTGTAAATGTAATCCACTTAATATTCTGTGGAACACAAGATTAATTTTCTCTGGAATAATGTATGTGAGGCCTTTTCTTTTCAGCCTGTTGGCAGAGGCGTCTGGAATAATGTATGTGAGGCCTTTTCAGCCTGTTGGCAGAGGCATTTGCTTGGTGGCTAAAGCTGAGGGCAGGGAATTAGGAGCAGGGAAGGAAGCTGACCCCACTTGCGGAGGATTCAGAAACAGCTAAGTCTGCCTGGAGGAGATTAAGCTTCCCCGTGGCAATAGCTTCGCTGCAGAGACATGGTTGGGATTGGAAATTTTGGGAATGGCTCTTTGGAAGCTCCCTGCCCTTGGTTTGTGCTTGCTGGCCTGGGTTTGCCACACAAACCCGCAGGTCTTGCAGCCAAGTGCCATGTGGGATGCCAAGGTCTTGGGGGGCTGTTAGGCTTTGTACAGGTTCCTTTAAAATAATAAGAATAAAAAAAAAGCCCTTGTTCTTTCTTTCACGGGATGGAAAGAATGCAGTGACTTGCCAAGCCTAAAGAGGAATATATACAGCAGAGATAAATAAATCAAGCCCATTTATTTTGATTAATCTGGTACGTTCGTAGTTTTCTAAAATAAAATCTAGCCCTGGAGGGTTTAGCAAATCGAATAACAATAACTGCAATTAATTTAGACGCAGTTACAAATGTTTCCCATCCCCTTTTCACCTCCCTACACCCGCATGATTAATCTCGCTGCTTATGACCCTGGGCCAAATCCTGCTCGGGGTCTCAGGGGTGCCTTTTTCGGTTGGAAAAGGGAGCCCTGCGGTGGTGGGGATGGGGTGCAGTGTTCCAAGGACAGAGCACATGTCGGTGCTGTCATTTGATGGGAAGCCAAACTGATCCCATAAAGCAAAAGGTGGTTGGATTTGGGATTGTCAGTGACTTGCAGAGGTGACGCAGCACGTCCGCCTGCGACGCACGGGTGGGAATGGGCCTTGGTCTTGGCTTGCCCGGTTGCTGTTGCAATGCAGCAAGCTCCAACAAGCTAAACTAGATGACTGTCCCCCGCCGGGGTTCAGTATCTTGGAGTATTGGGATTTAAGGTACAACGCAGCTCCCTGAATTTGCAAGGGTGTTTCACAACATTAGCCACCAAGAGGTCCAGAGGTTTTGCTATGAGAAATTCGTTATGACCCAGGAAAAAAATCACTGCAAGTCGTTTCAGCGAGCGTGGATCCGCTCCGACCCCCAGCCGGCTCCTTCAGCGTGCAGCGGGCAGCACCTCGCTCTCACCCTGACACTGTGACTGCTTTTCCCCCACTTTAAGTGGTGGGGGCCTGTCAAGATCGAAGCTTCAGGCTGTCTTGTGGGTCTGGCATTATTCAAGGCAGCTTGTGAAATGTAGGAAAAAGGTGAAAAGCCTTCCCTGCACCTTGTGAACTCTCGAAAGACACACAAACTAACATATATTTGATTGATATATGTATTTTTTTTAACTTTGCTCCTTAGTCAAGGCACTTCCATGGAAAAAAAAAGTTCATACTGAGTATTTTTTGGAGCGTCTTACACTTGTGTGCTGCTTCTTGTCCTTTTTTTTTTTTCCTTTTTACAGTCTATGGCATTTTACCGAGGTCTGCAACTAGTGGCATGCTAAATAATTCAATGTGATTTGCTCTCCGTGTTGTCCTTTTTTGGAGCTATTGCTCCTGAAGAGCTATCTGATCTCCTGGTAGCAGCCGTTGCAGAGCTAAGTGTTGGGAGCTGATGAGAAGTGACAGAGCGGCCGTGATGAACTCTTTGAAAAGCACCAAGAGGAAGACAGCAGATAACTCTGTCTCTAGATGATCTGTGAAAACTGGCCCTGTGTGGCAAATTCGCCTGAATCCAATAGCACCGTGATGTTTATTCAGACGTGTATGTAGGAATGCTGCCTTGTTTTCAGAAAAATATTTAAAAATAGAGACAAATATTTTAAACGGGGTTGTAATGATTTCTGATGGGGGAAGCTCTTTATTTCTTTTTTTAAAGGGCACCTCAAAAGATGTTTTCTGAGCCATTTATGGGGAGTCTAGGAAGACAGACTATAGGTCAGATGTAGGAAACGTTTCTGAAGCTGGAAAAGGGAAAAGATCTTGTGTCTTGGGCTAATAATTGCTAAGGGCTCTTTCCTGCCCATCTATTGCACACTGTGGGGGAATCTGAGTTATAATTAGATTTGTGCTTAGAGCTTGCCCGCAGTGACTGGAAGGGTAGCAGAGGTTTTTGAAGGTTTTTTCTCTTTTTTTTGCCATTGCTTTTGGTGCGCAAGGAACAGGCCGTGATTGGGCTTGCGCCCCTGTTCCCGCCCCACCGTCTCCACGTCCAGCTCCGTGTACCAGCCGCGTGTTGGCAGGTGCAGCTTCTGCTCCTGGCACCACTGGCTTGGTCCCTTGGTTGCAAAGCCTTCAGGCTCCTTGGTGCACATGCCTACGAGTCCAGAGCACGTGTCAGCCCTTGCCTATTAGAGCCTGGAGTCTCTGGGTTGTTGGTGCCACAACGGCACAACCTCTTCATCCCACGTGGCAAACCTTGGGAGTCTCCTGCTAGGAGATTGTAGCTCCTGAAGCAGCTGTTCTGGTAAGTAATTAATCCAGCTCTGAGAAACCATAAACCAGCATTTATCAGTAGATAGCAAACATCAGCTTGATGCAAACATTTGCTGGCTGAGGCGAAACTCTTTATTTCCCAGAGGGATGGGATCTGAACACTTAGGAATTTGGTCTGAAACTGCAGATAAGTGACTTTCAGTGAGGAGAGTGTCCAGCTGCTGCGCTCTGATGTCCCCATCGTAAGAACTTTGGTACGAGACTAGTAGTGAATTCAGACCTGCTGGGAACTATAGATAGGATCTGTAATTGGCTCTGTAGCATTTAGAGACGTTGAGCTTTTCCAAACCTTTTATATATTGTCCTGTTGTGTGCGTATATTAGGCATATATACAGTGAAAAGCCATGCGGGGCCTGCGTTCATTGAACACTGTGTTGAAAACCTCAGTGTTCACTTAGCTCTGCTTCTTTTGCTGGTTCTTGTGCACTGATCGCCTTCTAACTCTTGTGGATGAAGAGTCCTCATGAAACGTTGTCTGGAGGGATGTTGACGGTAAGATGTGTGTAGGCCAGATCTTGATCTTTATTAGTCTGAAGTTGAAACTCCTCATCTCTGTAGGTCAAGCTACACTTGTTTAGATGAGATCGTGATTGGATGGAGTCACCTCATTGCTAGTAATGTTTGGGTCAGGCTTTTGAAGGAATGAAGAGGCAGTTTGGGCCCTTCTTGTTGTGGTTAGTGTGTGTATCTTGTGGGTTTTTCCTTAGAGTACATGAACCCTCTGGGGGTGGGGGGTTAGCCTAATATATGTGAGTGCAGTTGTTGAGGAATGGCTCTTCGAGATGCTCGGAGGAGATGGTTGCAATAGATATGTGAACAAGCTTCTCTAGGCTGTCTGTCATGTGGAGAAATTTTTATCCTCTTAATACAGTTTTCTTGTGCAGAAGGTTGTGTAAGTGTTGTTTCTTAACCGATATTCTTGTTGGGAGATCTGTCTTGTGAGTCTTTGGATGGATGGGCAAAGGAGGGCAAAAGTATCTGCATACCAAGCTTCTGATTTTGCTAAAATGAAGCACAGCTTCAGAGAACATGGCTCCGTTTGGACGTTTGGCCTCAGGAAGCAAAATCCGGGGCAGTATTTGATGTGTTTCTTATAGTTTCTTATACTCGTTCCTCATGGTGATGTTTTTGCATAGTCGGAAGTGCAATTGCTCTGACAGTTGCACGTGTTGGACTGTAGTGCTAAGGGCTGCAGCTGTCTCTCCTGCAGTCTTAGCCACGTCCGTGCTCACGCTCTGAAGCCAGGAGCTGCGTCTGGTTAGAGTTTAATGGGGGACGAAGATGAGACTTTCTCCAGGCACTTCTGTAGATCTAGTACATCTGAACAAAACCTCTTGTGTTGGAAGTGCTGTTGGCTGCCACCATACCAAGCTCCAACACATAGCACAGATTATGGCTCTGCAGTGCTCACAGCTGTCCATATACTGTGACATTGCCATTAATTTACAAGAGCCAACTGCTCGGCCAGAATTACCCTCTGGTGTTTCCCAGGGCTGGAGTCTCCCCCCATCACTCCAGGGGCTGGTCTGAGCAGAGCCACTTGCTCCTAGGTAGAGCCAACGGTATCGGAGATGGGGTCTGGAAATCTGCACCTGAGGAGTTTAATGAGATCTCCCTAGTGAGGCGGTTTTACTGTGGGCTTTAACGTAGAGGCTCATAAAATTCTGTTGTTCGCAAATGTGAGTTGCACAGACTTTATTTCAGTGGAGGTCTAAACAGAAAAAAAGATCTTGGTGCCATGTAGTGCCAAGGGATGCTTGGTTGCTGCTGACACCAAACAGGGAACTTACTTCACTATTACGCAGTGCTTTACTCCAGGGTTACGACCTTAGCTTAATGACCAGTTATCTCTGTGGTTTTGGGGCTGGGAATTGTCATTAGCAGCTCAGAAGTGGGGGAGTAAGTGCCAAGGATTACAGAAGCGCTGATCTCCCATCTCCGCGCGTTCCTAGCCTTAGTGGTGCTCAGGGCATGTGCCCCAGCTCCCCCAGAGCGTCTCTGCACTGTCTCCTCGTGTGACCCCTCCTGTGAAAACCCTTTTGGGTGTGCTGGAAGGGGGAAAAATTAAGCCCCTTCAAGGAGCATAAGCAAATGGGGACACAGCCTTTATGTAAGTGCTACTGTCTTTCCACTCAAGTTTGTGGACATCTACTGGGAAATTATAGGACTAACTAGTAGTCAGTTAACCCAGCAGTCGCCATAGCACCGATAAACCCCTGCAGCCTTCAGCAGTCGTTGCTTTCTCCGCAGCGTCCTCGAGCTGAGAGTTGGCTCTCGTGTGTCTTGGACGCACTGAGCTCTCACGGTGTCGGCGCAGGCGCCGCTTTCGCTCTGCTCAGGCCTGTGGTGTGGAGCGGAGCCATTTTAGCCAGGAAAACATTCCTTGGAGCCCAACTGCTGCTTGTTTCGTACCGATAAGTCCTTCAGAAAGGATGTGTGTTTTGTTGCTGGAGTTTGGACACGTTCTGCTTTATCATCTGTGTACAGAAGTCCCTTTTCTGATAATACAGCAGTTTTAAATAAACCATCTGTCTAAATACAGTGAGCGAGCTTGGGTGTCCGCAGGCTGCGAGAAGGCAGCTCGGGGGACCACCGGGGCTGCTCGGCCCCTGCTGCGGATGCCGCTGCGTGAAGCGTTTCCTTTCACTCAAGCTCCTGAAAGGCTTCCTTGTCGTGGTGCTCTGTGGAGAAGCCTGCGGCCGGGCCCACACTCAGTTCTGCTGGCACGGCGCCAAGGCCGTCCGGCCCCTCAATGGGCCCTTGTGCCGCGGGCGGCCGCGCCGCGGCCTCGGCCACCTCGCTTGGAGAAGGCTGCTCCTGTAGCCCTGTGCAGCTGCGCTCTTGTGTGGCTTGGGCTCATTCTTCTAAAACCTACCCCAGTGTCAGAAAGCTTGCTTGGTTTAAGGTAAAAATAGGCTCTTTTTTTTTTTTTCCCTCCCCTTGCAGCAGGGAGGACAAAGAGCAGGGTGAGAACGGGCGACACGTGCGGGCCTAAAGCCGAAGCAGCTGGCGGGGATGTGTGGGCACTGGTGTGTGCCCCATGTGGGGAGACGGCTGGGATGTCGCCTGTGCTGTCGGCCAGCCCTCCGGAGCCCTCCGTGCCGGAGTATCGCGGCTGCCCCGTGTGCTGCCATGCTCTGACCATGGAGCTCGTTGAGCCCTTTGGGAGGGGAGAAAGGGAGGTGCTGCCTCTTAGGTGTATTCGTACACAGGCTTTTGCGGAGCCTCCTGCAAGAGTATCAAACATTCCCTGTGTGAAACTGAGGTAGGGATGAAAACTATTTTGTGTGTTTGTCTTAAAAATGCTCATTCTTCCCCCTGGTTTAAGAAGTTTTGTTTGCCCTAAACTACAAAGGCAAATCACTTTATTTCCCCCTTTCATTTGAGGGCTGGTTTGCTAGTTCTCCTGTTCCCGGTTTAAAACAAAATGCAGTCGTCTCTGTGAAGAGGACCTGGGGTGTGTGCAAAGAGGAGCTTGCAATAGCAGGAGAGTTGCAGCTGGCACGGCAGCGGCCGGAAGGAAGGATATTGGGATTGGGATTGGGATTGGGATTGGGAGCTTCTGACTGTGCAGCTTTGGCCCTGAAGCCTGGCCAGCAGCGACGGTCACAGGGGAAGGGTGTTAGCAAGAGGAGAGTAGATGCACGTGAGCACAAAAAGCGTCTGCTTTCTTTCAACAGGGGCTTGCTGCAGTGCCCGCCTGTGCACGGGGAGCGAAGCAAGGCCCAGGAGGGACACAGCATCACTCGGAAAAGGGATCCGTCCTTTTTTCCCTGTGGCGGCTGCAAATATCTGGCGTTCCAGCTATGTTGCTATGGCTGTGTGTAACGGTTTGTGCCAGCAGTCGAGGCAGGAATGTCACTCAGCAACTCCTCGCGAGCTGCGCGGTTGCCTTGGCAATGCCACTGGAAAAGTGCAGGGAAGGACCGGGAGTCACAGAGGGAAGGAATTGCTGGGGGGACGGACCGAGGTGGGAGCTGGGGGTGGCAAGAACTGCATGGAGGGGGGCTTGGAGCTGAGGCTCAGGCACCCTGCAGCCCAGCTGGCTGTGGGGCTCATGGCCAGCAGCCAAACCAAGGTGCATCTTGGGCTACCTGGAAGCCGGCTGATTTAAGGTTCAAAACCTGAATTGTAAGGTGTGAAGCAAAGTGAGGAAGGGCTTGTGTGAAACAGTGATGGAGCTGCACCATGTTGGGCATCTGGGCACCCCCCTCAGAAGGGGAGAGGAGAGCTCTTTGCCTTGAGGAATCACAGGAAAAGGTCTGAAAATCTACTGCTAAGAGCATCTGGCCATTTCCGATATATATTTTTAAAAAAAGAATCACTTTCTTGGGTGTATTTCTCTAGACCGTGTGATCATGTGCCCTAGGCACAGCTTTCTTCTCCCTTAATCTCCTAGTGAATATTCAAAAATAGCTATACTCGTAGTACTTGAAAAGCCTCTTCCAGGGTTGTTTCAACACTGAGGAGAATAACCCTTAGGAGAAAAAAAAAAGATTCTCAAAAATAAACAGCAGCTGCCACCATGGATTTTTTTTTTCCCTTTTCCTCCTTCAGTTTGTAAAAACCTGGTGCCGGTTCCTGTTCCCCTTCCAGCTCTGCTTTTATCTGCTCTTATGGCAAAGGGATGGGTAGGACGTGGCGCTCTAAATACACCCGGTGGGCAGGGGGTGCTGGATGGGCAGCGTGCGAGAGGCGGGGAGGCAAAGTGGGATTTCCCCAGTCTCATGGGGCAGCTCTCTGGAGACCGGTCCATCTTGGGGGTCGGGAGAGGAGCCCAAGGAGGATTGAGGATTGAGGAGATGGTTGAGGACTCGCCTGGGGTCCACGGTGCCCCGTGGAGGCCGTGACTGGGCTGGGTGGCTGCAGGGGCCGTGCGGAGCCGGGGGCACCGGGATGGGTCCGCGAGCCCCATGCGGGGCAGCCCCGCATGCACCGACTCGAGGGGATCGCACGCATGGAGCCAGCGGTGACGAGCTCTGGGAAAAGGAGGAGGAGCGAGAAATGGAAAATAAGGCTTCTGGATGGGAAAAAAATGACAGGATGAGAAAATAGCAATACAGTTTATTCTTTCCCCACCATCCCTCATACCTCTTAGCTTATATCATCTTTTAACTATGCCAGCGAGTTCATTTCTGTTTGTGTGTATGTGTGTGCTTGTGGATGACTGCCAGGCTGCTACCCAAATACATTGTTTTTTAAAACAGGAGAGCGGGGAAGAAGAGAAGTGTGGGGCTAGGATCTTGAGTTTGCTTCTAGATAATTGTGCTCTCATTTAGCACTGCTCTAGATCAAGTTATCTCAAGTTATCAAGTTATCGATGGCCAAGATTCACCACACCAGCAGTGACATTTAGGCCAGGGCCGGCGATTCGCAGCACAGTTCTGCTTTTCATGGTATTTGTAATGCTGCTAATCCCAGGGCTGTCTGCAAAGCTTAAAAGGTTCAAAACATTAGTCAATAAAACACTAATCTCTGCAGAATGTTTAAGAGTTGCTTATATCTTTTTTTCCTCCTTTTCTCCTAGGATCCTGCAGGAATCTTTGAACTGGTGGAGCTTGTTGGCAATGGCACCTATGGGCAGGTCTACAAGGTAAGGACTCCGTGTGTGTCTGGGGCGATCCTAGTTCCTTAGGCCAGGCATCCCAGCTAGGCTTGGCTTAACCAGTTTCAGGCCTGATGAGAAGCCTTGCCAAGCTTCTGCTTTTTGGTCTTGTGTTCAGGTATTGTGTAGCTCATAGAGCTCTTACAAATAAGCAATTCATATCAGTTCTGAAACTGTCACTAAAAAATGAATCACTTTTTTTTTTTCTCCCCCCAATTGCTTTTTATTGATTTTGTGATGAGGAGGGAGTGAAGAGTCTGTAGTTTAATGGAGGAATCTCGATCTTTTCCAAAGAGCTGGGTTTTACAGCTGCACTAGCCTGCAGAAGGAGTTCATTACAGTCTAGTGCTCTGCTCTTACCGGGGGGTCGCACGCAGGCTGGGTGCCTCACTTTCTGCTTGGAAGAAACCCACTGCAGGAGGGAAACACAGGCTCAATAGCTTTGCTTTAACATGTCTGTTAATACCTTGGAACAACTGCCAGGTGGGAATGTTAAGAAGAGAGCAGAATTCTGTGGAGAATAGAGTTTTAAACACCATAAGCTTCGCTGAAAATGCTTAAACCGCCCCCACTTTGCTAAGTGCCATCAGCTGTCCCAAGCACCTTAATGTGAGAGATACTTCCAGAATTTGATTTTTTTGTTGGGTTTTTCTTTTTTTTTTTTTTTTTTTTTTTGGTGGAGGGAAGCAGGGTATTGAGGAGGAAATGAATTATTTCAAAGCTTGGATTTACTTGCACTTGGTATATGATGCAAACATGAGATAAGGTTGCTGCGATGTTTCTTGGCACAGATGCACAAAGAATTTGCTTCCTGTTTTGGGTCTCCTCTGGGTTTTCCAAAGGCTTCTCTGTGTCTTAGTTCTGTATATGTGCACCTGGATTCATGTGTGCTCACAAGGAGCTCCTGTCTATGTCCTGCCTCTATTCTCTTTTGACTATTCTGGATATATCCCTGCACTCGTCATGACTCCGAAGGCCCAACTCTTGCCTGTCATGCACTAAAAGAGTGGGCTGCCCCTAATGAAAAGGAAGAGGGAAGTGTGTTTAAAAAGCTACCTGTCAGGAAAGATTTGTTCTGAATTCTGGCTTCCCCTTCCTCCCACCGCTGTAGGCTAATCGCATCAGTATGATGATAGAAGAATTTAAGTGAACCAAGGATGAACTGAAACTTCTAGACTTTAAAACATGTGAATTTTTGAAATGGTGGAAAGTCTTTAAAAAAAATAAAGACACCCAAACCCTTCTGATCAAGGTGGTTGTATTCTGGGAGCCTTCCCCTCTCCTATCTTATAGGAGACAGTTGTTTTTCCCCAGGAGGTGATAGAGTAGAGGAAACAGAGACAATTTCTCCATCGCTGAGGCCACATGAACTTGGTTCTAAGCTGTTTTTCCTCTCAGCTGCTAAAATAATGGCAGAGGGTGACCTAATTTTAACTTGTGCATATTTCTAACAATCAGTGGAAACTATGCGACTGCAACGTCCTTTTGAAAGCGTAACGCTTTTGTGGAAAGCAGAAAGGGGAAATAAACGATCAGGTGCTTGCGCTGCGCTCTGCCCAGCTCTGCTAATTGTGTTTCCTGTCCCAGCGTTTGGTTCTTTCCGTGCATCTACGTGTTGTTTAAGGGGGGGGTGAAGAAGAAGTATCCAGGAGCCCCAAAGTGAGGGTTTCCCAGGCGCTCATGTATTCTGAACACTCTAGTGTTCCCCTTTCTCATTCTGTACAAAAACAGCCCTCCCATTAACTGTTTTTGGTGACTGGAAGGGCGCAAAGCCGCTCTCCAGACCAGATTAGTAAGGACTGAGTTGGGCACCCACACTAAGGCTCAGTTCTGAATTCACTTTAATTTAAGTCTTGGTGTAGAGCAAAGGTAACGACCCTGTAGAACAGACCCACTCCAAAAGCTAGTGCAGAAATAAGATCTCTGTGGTTCTTTTCCACCAGATATCACCACTGCATTTGTCTCTTGCAGCAAAACAGATAAATTTTCAAGACACTTAGACCCTTTGGCTCCTTTTTAAAGAAAGGAAAAAAGAAAAAAAAAATCAGTTGTTGTTGTTACCGAGCAGGGAGTATCTGCTGTATTTAGGTTGTTGTTCTACAGCCATTTGAAAGCAATGGAAATCACATCTGGGATATTCCCACCCCTCTGTGCTGGTGCTGTCTGAGGTGCACACAGTGCTGTCCTCTTTCGAGTTGCTGCTTGCTTGCTCTCTGGTTATACTCTGGATGTGGAGAATAAAATTAATTGGGGTGCCCAGTCTGGGCAAAATTGAGACGTTTGTTCCAGGGAGGGTAGAGGATCATCTTTGTTTTTTGATGCAGATTTGCAGAAGCAGAACGATAGCCCTGCTATTCTTGCAGAAAACTGAGCTCTGCCATTGCCACAGTCATGTTTGCAAGGACACTTCCGGTCTCTCTCTGACACAGGGATGTCCCTGGCTGCCCAGGACCTAGAAGGAACTTGGTCTGGTTGACAGGGCCTGCGAGGTTTTAAGTGCAACGTGAAAACCTTCCATTTGCATTGATAAAAAGTGCTCGTTACATTGTTCTGGTGACTGAATGATCCAACAGCCTTGACAGGATGAGGATGCTGAGAAATGTTTCTTAGTGCAGCAATAATAAGAGCAATCAGAGCAGGGGCATAAGAAAGTGCTGTAAAAGGAGCTGCTTTTTTTTTTCTCCCCCTCCACCACATTTCACCATTCTTTGTTTCCCAGTGTGTGTGGGATGTTCGTGCTTTTGGGGGAAGGTAATGAAAACCAGAGCAAAGTGCTTTTCATATCTGCAGTTTTTCCATCTACCTAGTCCAAAACTGCCACACACAAAAGAGAATTTCAGAACTATTAGTGCATTAAACGTTCCAGTGCAGTGGGGCTTCAATATGACATTGCAGGGAAGCACCTTTTTTAACTGGGTATCATGTGAGACAGGCAAATACAACAGACTATTCATCGCTGAAGACGAGAGACGTGTCCCCTGGAAGATCCTGTATGGTGATTCCATACTGAGTGGATGTATGTACAGTTGTTTGAAGAGTGAAGCTCGCTGCCCAGGCCGCCTTGGTCCTTCCTTCTGGGTTTGAAGATGCCATTAGGGAGTGTGTGATATTCGTGGTAGATCAAAGCCTCTCTCTCGGAGGCTTGTGCTCCTGAGGGAAAGGAAGCTTTGGTTGGATTGGATTGGATGGATTTATCTCTTGGCTGAATTTCACGCTGCATTTTCAAGTAAAGGCCTTTCTTTGCTCAAGGACTGCAGGTTCAAGAATTGTCTTGGTGGATCCCTGGAGAGGCTGCAGGAGAGGGAGCCTCAGTCCTGAAGCTCATGTCAGTGCCAGCCGAGTGCTAGAAACAGCCTTACCAGAGGCCTTGGCCTCAAGTCACCGGAGAGAGGATGAATGTTGCTTGTTCACTGTCTGACAATCCCCTGTGAATGGCTTGATTTTTGTTTTGATGAGTGGGGTACCACGTTTGTTCACTGTCTGACAATCCCCTGTGATTTTTGTTTTGATGAGTGAGGGACCACGTTGGTGATAGTTTATCTCTCTGATTGAGCTGGAAGTGTTTCTTTATTTTCAAATAACCCTGTATCTAATGAAACAGATTGGGAACTAATTTTGACCAAAGACTTGGGCACTTGCTAGCTGCAGTTTAACATTGTTGCAGCATGTGATTGTTTGTTTGTTTGTTTTTTTCAAAGAAATGGCTAACAGGAATAAAACGAATTGGTCTTAGGGAACTGAGCCATTGCCTCGCTGTTTTTCATTGGTATTTGATGAATGAAAGCAAAACCGTCAACACAAAAATTAGTAAACCACCTTTACAGTATTATCTAAAGTGGAGTGGAAATACTTCTTGTAAATGGCATAATATTGTTATTACCATTTATCTCTACTGTGCATTAGAGAGCAAGCAAAAGGTCCTTACAACTGCATAGATAAACCACATCATCAAGGCTAGAGCTGCTGGTGTGCAAAACACCCCAGCAAATATGCTGGAGGAAACAAAACCGATCAGTGGTTACTCTGAGATTATTTCAGAAAGATTCTTCCAAACCCTGAGGAAAACATTCAGTGGCCTAAGTTAAATAAGTAAAATACCGCTACAGACTTTTATATACTTTTGCCTCATGCGAAATTCAGGGGTCTAGTAGCAACAAGGGAGGGTTGCTTCTGGGTGCCAGTCCTGAACGGATCTTTCTCCTGGCCTCCTCTCTCCTGCCATGGCCGTGGTCCCCAGGCCGGGAGGCCCGGGCTGCCCTCACAGTCCTGCTTGGGCTGCGCTCCCCGCTTCAATGTGTGCCAAGAGACTGCAGCACCGGAGCAGGAGAAAGCCAGGGAACTGTTAATGTTACTGGCAAGGGTGAGCTTGAGACATAACCCTGCAGGAAAACTGAAAAAACATCAGTAAATAGCTCCAGCGGTGACCGTAACTCTTGCGTGCAGTTGTACAGCACTGAATAGGGAAATAAATGGTGTTAAGGCAGCGTGGCCGGGTGCTTCTTCCCACCCGCGCCGGGAGGACAGTGCTCGTTACTGCCAAGGGCCCTGGGTTTTCCTTGCGCTGGGGCCGCGGCGCTCCGCTCGCAGCTGAGCAAGGCCCTGTGCTCGTGCAGATCCGTGGGCGAACTCCGGAACTGCACAATAACTATTGATTGCTTAATTAGCTGGTAAATGCCATGTAATCGCCGAGCCATTACGTGGAGTTATCCCATGTTGGGAGCCTGCCGGGCGCCCCGGAGCCGGATCCGTGGGGGCTGCGGGGTGGGAGAGGGGACCCTCGTAGGGCTGCCTCTGCGTTGCCCCCAAGCCCAGCTTTTCTTCTGGGGTGGGGGATGACTCAATGTCTTTCCATTTGCTCCCTGTCTCACAGGGTGATGTATGTCTGCAGTTCTATACAGGGGGATGAACGGTGGGGAAAAAATGCATCCTAAGACAGTTTCTACTTAGTTTCTGCATAACTGGCACTTGTCTGGGGCCAGGACTGAGTA